TTTAATTTTAATAAGTTTTGATGCTTCTATGAATTTTATAAAATGTACTATTTTTAGTACAAAATAGTAAATCCAATTCATTAATTATTTGTAAAGAAGTTTAATTAGATTTTAATAAAGACAGAGGCATGGTCTCACCTTTGAAGATTAAAAAAAATAAAATAAAATAAAATATATAGTATTTTCTTGACAAAATAAATATTGAGATAAATATTAATGTAAATATTAAGGTTAATGTGATGTGAACATTGAGATGAACATTAAGGTTAATGTTGACATGAACATTGATATAAATGTTGACATAAACATTAATCTGAATATTAAAGTTAACATTGAGATGAACGTTGACATAAACATTAAAGTAAATGTTAAAGTTAACATTAACATGAACATTGATATGAATATTAAGGTGAATGTTAAGGTCATTGTTGAGGTGAATGTTGATGTGAATGTTAAGATCAACATTGTGGTGAACATTAATATAAACATTAAAGTGAATATTAAAGTCAATGCTGAGGTGAACATTGACATGAACATTGATGTGAATGTTGATATGAATATTGACATAGATATTAAGGTCAATGTTGAGATGAACGTTGATATGAACATTAAGGTGAATGTTCATGTTAACATTCATCTCAATGTTCACCTCAACGTTAACAAAAATGTTAAAGTGAACGTTTATATTAATGTTCATCTCAACTAGTATTTAAAATTCAAAACAAAAATTACTTGCAACTGTGCAAGTAAAAAAATTTTTTACTTGCACAATTACAAGTAAAAAAAGTTGTTTTGTTTGTACAACTACAATTTTTGTAAAATATATATATATCATATCTGAAGTTATAATTTATCTGAAGTTGCAACTTCAGATATTTAAAGTAGCACCTAAATAGAATTAAGCTCTGAAATTAGACCTTTATGTGTATAATACTAGTCAAATACTACTTTAGATATTTAAAGTCACAACTTTAAATAAGAGGCAACTTCAGATACAACATATATATCATATAAACTTGGTGCAATTTTTTTTAAATTTTGCTTGTACATTTTGTATATATATTTTACAAAATACTTGTATATTAAGAAAAGCTCTTGCACATGTGCACCTTGTGCAAGCCAATTTTAAATACTGACCTCAACATTTACCTCAATATTGACCTTAACATTTACTTCAATGTTGGCCTCAACATTGACCTCAATGTTGACCTTAACATTGACATGAACATTCACTTTAATGTTAATATCAATGTTCATCTCAACATTTACCTCAACATTGACCTCAATATTGACGTGAATATTTATCTTAATATTCATATCAACATTTACCTTAACATTGACCTCAACATTGATATAAACATTCATCTTAATGTTCATATCAATATTCACCTCAACATTAATCTTGATGTTTATGTCAACATTTACTTTAATGTTCATGTCAACATTCACCTCAATGTTGACCTTAACATTTACATCAATATTCACCTCAACATTGACCTTAACTTTTATCTTAATGTTTATGTCAACATTCACTTCAATTTTTATTTTAACATTCATCTTAACCTTTATATCAACGTTCATCTCAATGTTGACTTTAATATTCACCTTAATGTTTATATCAATGTTGAGGTCAATGTTGAGATGAACATTGTGGTGAACGTTGGCATCAACATTAGCCTCAACGTTAATTATATCTTGCAGAAATTAGTGAAGTAGTTTAGTTACATGCTAGAAAATTTTTTGTGAATGATCTACAAAGGTTGGCTTTAGCCATCCCCCATTTATAGTATATTTCTGGACTGCATTAATTAACTGAAAATCTGCTCAGACAGTGCAAGTTACCTAGACAATTGATTTATATTAGTAATTAGACAAATATCTGCCTATTACTATTACTATGTCAATTTAACTGATTGTGATGAGTCAGTTATAAGCCAATAACTAACAATAACTGATTGCTAACTGACCATGACTGACTGAACCCCTCTACTTACAACAAATAAATAATCCAGAATTGTCCATATTACAAAGTGGTGTAACTAACTATTATCATATAGGTCTTATGTAACAACCCATACTTTTTTTAAAAGCTATATGAAAATTATATGACACATGATTTTTATATAAACCAGTATGAATTTAATTATTTTACAAGCAAAAACTAAATTCAGTTTTTGCTTAAAACTATGTATTAATATATGAGTTTAGTATTTTTTTATAATTGGACAAAGACTTTTATTAACTAGATATTTTTTTTATAATTGTAATAGATTGAGCAAATACTTTTATTAACTGGGTATTTTTTTATAATTGTAATAGATTTGGTGAAGACCTTTATTAACTGGATATTTTTTTATAATTGTAATAGACTGGGTGAAGACTTTTATTAGCTAGGTACTTTTATAATTGTAATAGATTGGGTGAAAACTTTTATTAGCTGAGTATTCTTTTATAATTGTAATAGATTGGACGAAGATTTTTATTATCTGGGTATTTTTTATAATTGTAATAGATTGGGCAAAGACTTTTATCTAACTGGGTATTTTTTTATAATCGTAATAGATTGGATGCCAAAGATATATTATAAATTGATTTTTTTTTACAAGTAGTTAAATGTGTTTATTTTAAAAACTTTTAAATGGTTGGAACAAAAACTTTAATTAATTGTGTATCTTTTAATATTGTAATTAGCTGAGATGAAGATTTTCAAAAAATTATAATTGGCTAGAACAAAAAATAATTAGTCGTGTGTTTTTTAATATTGTAATTGGCTGGAGTGAACAAATTGTAATTGGCAGAAGCGAAGACTTCAATTAGTTGATTGTTTTTTAATATTGTAATTTGTTAGTATTTTTTTTAAATTGCAATTGTTGGGCAGCGAAGGTTTATTCAATACAAAAGTTTTTTTTTATAAGTTTAATTATTATTATTGTTAAGTGACGCACAGGTTGTTACGTCAGTCCCATACGATAATATGGATATGTATGTATAAGTTAGTTAAACACCGATTCATATTCAATCACATGGCCGAAGGCCACGTTAGGGTGATCATCAAACTAATTAAATCAAATCATAGTTTTGACTACATTTAAAATTTATTATGTAAGGATTTTTTTACAGGTTTTTTTTAACAATTATGAAAATTAACTTTGCGAATGTTTGCCATTATTTATCGTTATCGAACAAATTTTTTTAATACATTTTACAAAGGTACACTTTTCTAGCTAAGGACATAAAATTTTTATATCATATTTTTTTTTAACTTGTAGATTTTATTTCTCTCTTTCTGATAATAGCCTCGGTTTTACAAATTTTAATTGATTCATTGTTGTTAATTTCGGGTAAAGCTTATTCATTTTGTTGAAGAACCAACTATTTGTATATGGAATAAATCGCAAAAACGCCTCTATTACATTATTCTAAACAGGTTAATATGTCTTTTTCCAAAAATTCGACAGGCAATAATTATATTAGTTCAAAAGAAAACTGTACTGAAAGTTACTATCATCCGCAGTAATTTCGGATTTTCGTCAAATAGTAATCAGTACATATTACGCTACTTATGGTTTGATTTTACTAGTTTGATGATCACCCTAAGGCCACGTGCTTTCATATGAACCAGTGTGTAACTAACTTACACAAACATATCCATACAATAACTATAATTTATTTTATACAAACATTTTTAATGTATTATGTTGATCAATTTCCATGTTTGCTATTTTGAATTTTTAATACGTATTAATTTTAGACTCAACATTATAACTAACAAAATGGTGGAAAATTTGTATAATGATCCATCTTTCTTTTCAGATATGTAGGTTATTAGTGTTCCTTGTATTTTAACTTTAAGCTAATAAGATATACAATTCTGTATGTATTGGCTTTAGAAAAATAAGGATTTGCTTTTTGATACCTAATGCGGTAAAGTCGTAATGAAAATTTATTGAAGTTAAGCCCATTATTATATTTTCAAAGGTTTTTTTTCTTATTCTTTTTTTTTTGAATCCACGCTTATCCCTTATCAACCCTGTGCGACAAAGACAATATATGAAACGTTAAACATCATATTACAAATGATATTTGATACCATTATCTATATTTAGCACATCATTTTTACAAAAGTACTCGCATCTATATTTAGCTATATTTTAGAGCGTATTGTCTTTACGTACATAGGTAGCTAGATATCCAAACATTCTGTATTCCTGATACCGTTTAATATACAAAATGTCTTCAGATAAAGAAAATTTGCTTGAAAGAGAACAAGATACTTATTTCAGAATCAACCGACTGAAAACACACTGATTGGACAATAGAATCGGAATCGAAAAAAACGAATGCAACTTAGTCAAAGTAAAAGAGGAAAATGCTGATTATAAATAGGCAAAACAATAAAAGTAAACGCTTAACTAAAAGAGCCACAGAACCTCCAATTTGGCTCAGAACTATTAAGAAGAAATAAAAAAGATTAATACGAAAAGAGGAGACAGCATTAATATCCAACGGTGTACCAATTTATCAAGGCACCTACCAGAAAAACAACCAATCCTTCCCAAATTAATGATTGAAGTGTCCAAACCTGACGTTAAATTTAAATCCAATCCAGGTTGTTGGTATTCTGACAATATTGAAAAAAAAAAAATTTTTTTTTTTTAATTAAATTAAATTAATTAATTGATAGTTAAATAAAAATTTGAAGTTATGGATCCAACAAAGTATCTTATCTTGAAAAACTATATTCGGTATCGACAAACCCCACCAGAACATGACAGAAATCAACGCCGAAGATTGGAGTCCCAAAGTAAGCATTTCCTCGTCAAAGAAGGCATATTATACAAAAGGAGTAAAAATGATGAAAATAGACAGTTGAAAGTCCTTCAAGAATACGAAATCGAACCGATACTATTTCAGTTCCATGATCATCTATTAGGGGCACACTTAAATAAAGAAATCATTTTTAATAAAATTAAAGACCATTATTATTGACCGCAAATATATGAAGATATTTGCAAATATGTTCAAACGTGTGAAAAGTGCCAGCAACAAGGAGGTAAAAATTTAAGTAAACCGATGCACCCTATCCCCGTAGAAGTGCCCTTTAATAGAATTGGAATTGATATAGTAGGACCTCTACCTATAACGCCCAAACTTAATAAGTACATTGTGGTAGCAACCGATTATTTGACAAAATGGCTAGAGGCCAAGGCGATACCCGAGACACAGTCAAAGAGGTTGCTAATTTCATCTATGAGGAGATAATCTGTAGGCACGGCTGTCCCAATTTCATTCTCACAGATCGAGGCTCGCATTTTCGAAATGTGATAATCGATAATCTATTGTCAAAGTTTTAAATTAAACATTAGTACTCTACACTGTATCACTCCCCAAACCAATGGTTTGGTAGAACGATTCAATAAATCGATCTATACATCACTTGCCAAATTAGTAAATAATACAAGTGAATGGGACTCATTTATACAACCTGTTATGTTCGCATATAGAACTGCGAGGCACAGTATTAACAAATGACACCATTTTTCCTTGTATATGGAAGGGAGGCTAGGCAACCTGCACACCCAATTGCGTCAGACCCATTGTTAGATGAGACATTTATGCAAAGGATCTTCAATTTAGAACATGATCTACCCAAAACCCGTGACCAAGCCACAAATCAAATCCGTGAAAATCAACAAAAGAAAAAAATTGCACATGACGGCAAAATAAAAATTAGTAATGACTTCATGATAGAGAACAAGGTATGGGTGTATGATGCAAGGACAATGAGTACGCGAAGCCATAAGCTAGTTCCGTAATGGAAAGGGCCTTTCTATATACATAATACTCTTGGAAATGGTGTTTATATGTTGAGAACATTAGAAGGGAAGGTGTTAGCAAATCTGCTTAATAAAAAGCTGCTAAAAATTTATCATGACCGAAAAGATATAAATAGATACGTATTGAGCGGATAAAGCCCATTATCCTCAAGATCAAGATGCTTACAGACATCAACCTTCTCATTAATGACCTATTGTCAACACAACCAGCAACCGTCGTACTACTTCCTCCACCATATCCTGAGTTGATAGCCATTGAAACAAAAATGGATTTAACTTATCGAGCCCTATTAAGATACACACGATCAGGAAATCATATTGGCACTTTGACTTATGCATATTATCTGAGTGCTTTGATTGAACAGTTAACACCAGCACAGTAAACTCTACAAAAGGCAAAAATGACCAAACATTATTATATAGCCACCAACTGTGTATATAACATTTTTGAAGTCTTTGGCGTAGAACAAATCTGCTGCATTACTTACATGAATTTGTCCAAAATCGCTACCTTGTCGCTTCACGACTATCAACAGTTGATCCAAATCGCATTAGCAACCAGTTCGACCTCATTCATAATAATGGATACCTTGGGTGAAGATCCTGTAACTTTGATGATTAAAAAAAAAAAAAAAAAAAAAAATATATATATATATATATATAAATAATATTTTTTTACATATTCACTATTATACTTGTTGCTTCACAATTACTCTTCTTTTCTTTAGTTGATTTTTATTTTTTTATTTTATTTATTTTTTTTTTTTCTTCTCTTTGTTCTTCTTTTCTTCTTTTCTTTCTTTTTTGTATTCCTATCAATATTATATATTCTTGTAGAACTCGAAAACAAGCGCGGGAGATTGTGAGGGTGAAAAATCATTTAGATTGACGCCGAAGTAGTTCGGGTCGATCTAACCCAAAATTGTTCAAAAGTACGCCGAATCTGCCAAAAAGGTCAGATATGTCGGATAGGTCAGATATGTCCTATATGTCCTAAAGGTCGTATATGTCAGATATGCTATATCAAACAAATATGGTCGTAACGGCAGAAAAGTTTGTAGCAAAATTAGTATAGAGAAAAATGTATTTAAGCACAAAAATTTCGCTGTGAATAAAAGATAACTTCCCTTGAGTTTATAACTACGAAAGTATATGAGTAGTAGTTTCAAGGTTTCTGCTCCTTAATAAACGTAACGTAAAATAGTATATCGAATTTTTTGTCTCCATGATTTGTAAAAACCCATATCGCTAGTATGTTAAGAAGAGAAAAGAGAAAGATTGAATTAGTAATCGTACCTCTATTTATATAAAATTAGTAAATTGATTAAGTTCGTGATTAACTCCATTGTTAAAATAAATATGTAATTACTCTTAAAATGTGATCCTGTGACATGTGACACCGAAAATCGGAACCCGAATAATTCGTTAAAACCCAGGCGCCCTTGAAGAATAAAGAAATTCATATAGTAGATATTAGTAAAGAGAACTAAAAAGTAATAAGAAGTGCTAATAATATCAGTAACTTTTAGTGTTAACAGTAGTAAACATACCTTGAACTCAGTCTCGTGACAGCCACAGCATCGAATTATACCCTATTTTGGACCAAATCAAACCACGCCTCAATCGAAGCCTACCAACTAGGGTATAAAGGAAAGATTTCGTAGATTTAGTAGATTCTGTGTTGATTTTAGAGTCAAAGCGACCCCGTTTTAGCTTAGTTTTTATTGTCATACCATTTTACACTGTCACACTGTCCGGTCCATCCTGGTTAAAAGACTGCCAGTCTTTTAAAAAACTGGACCGGACTGCGGTCCAGGACCGAATAGAGCTAGGTCGGACGGACCAATGATCATTATAATACTTTTTTGCATTTTAGGTAGCATTTCTACAAAAAATTGTTCATTCCCAGTAATTTTGACCAATCAAAATTTAAGATCAGGTGTCAAAAACATGGTTTGTTTTCTAAGTAAAAAAAGTTATGTGTAAAATAAAAACCAGAAAACTGTCATAATTAGGGTTAAGATTAGAACAATATAACGCTTACTAGTAAATCATTACGATGAACATTTTTAATTAGGCCACAGAAGGTGGTTTCCTAATTAAAATTTAGAGTTTTTCTTGTTGTTTGTAAAAAATGGGTTCGTTTCGATTTTTACGTTACACATTTGATTGGTCAAAATTACAGGGGGTAAACAAATTTTTGTGGGAGAACTAGGGCGTTTTTTTTTGCTATAACGAGGAAATTAAATTCTTATCAATGCTTACCAATATTGAAAAAACTGATAATCTATAATTTGATAATGGTACATTACTTACATGCGGATCGAGCAGATTACATTTATATTAGATTTTGAACAATATTCTGTATTTGCATATAGGCATTGTTTTGGAACAGGAGTTTGAGGCAAGTTAATCAAATTATAATTTTTATCATTAAAAATCCTCGGCTAAATTAATTATTAGCTTGTTTCAAAGTCATATTCCAAAATAATACCCATAGGTGTTATTTTGCACAAATACAGTGCAAATTGTAAATCAAAAGATCACACCATTGCTGTCATTAATCTGTTAACAACAGCCCATTCTCATTATACATTATACATGGTTTAATCTTGTTTAACAAACTAAGGGGTTTGTAATTGAATTTTAACCAAAAACAACATTTTATAGTTGTTTCAAAATGCGTATTATCATAAGATTTAGTTTACTATTAGGACCGACAGCCCTTTTGGTCTGTTCTAAAAAGGACCGAACCGGCCCGGTCCTTGGATGGACCGAAGGACCGTCAGTTCGGACCGAACCAATTAACAGCCCTAGTGGCAACTTAGTGAAGTTGGCAAGTAGTCACATCCCCAAGCAGCAGGACTAGAGTTTGAATCCTACTAGTAACGAAAATTTGAATTTATAGAAAATGCATTTGGAAGACTGTATCCTATTGGGCTGTAGAACCTGTAATAGTGGTCATATCAGCTTGTACTGGGAGGTTGTGGAACATGTAGTGTGATGTATGAGTTACACAAAACCTAAGTAAAGCTACTGGATAAATCTAGTGAATTTACAGAATATGAGAGCCTGTTTGGCAAGACCTGAGTGGAGAAGTAGCACAGATTTTTGATAGTTACTATATAAAGGATGATTAACTGGATACTGAAAAATTGGATGGGACTGAGGTCTTTGGCAAGGCACTATATCAACCAGGCCGTTAGATAATCAGAGGAAGGGTTTTGCCCTTCTGGGCTATTAGATTAGGAGTTTGGGTTTCCAGAGATATGGGAGAGAGTCCGTAAAGTAGGTACTGGGGTCTGGGTGAACTTTACAAGGGCAGTAGTAGGTAACTGTAGCTGCCTCAGCTTGCAAGTACTTGTTCTCAGACTTGGCATAAGTTACTGAAAAGGCTTAGTCTGGAAATGTGTAGGACATAGAAAGATTAGGGGTATATACTACATCTTCACTAGGGTAACCCAGTAAGTATGAGAACTCTACTGAGTTATCTATGGAATTAGGCCTCAAGTAGTGTAGTATATGTTGATCTGGGTGGTCTTTAATGAAGCAGCACAAGGTTATGAGTTGGTGTAATTAAGGTGGTGATGCAGAAGGGGGATATCAGAAGTTTAATTGGATAGCTCAAGTAATAATAGGTTATAGATACAGCATCTAGTTTAGACTTTAGTAATAGGTAGCTACTTAATTAGGCACCCAAAGTCACAGATATGGCTAGAATATACTCTCGTGAACTAAGAATATACTACTAATATACCTAATAAAAATTTGCCCTTCCGCGACATTGCGAAGGTAAAAAAAAATATATATATATATATATTTTTTTTTATTAACTAGCTTCTTTGGTGTGAAGTTTTTATTTAAGTATACCAGGTGGGAGGTTCACAATGGAACTCTCTATTATTTTAAAGAATATAACTAGCCACACATGCATCTTTTGGTTGTCTATTTAAATAGTCCACATATAGATAACTGTATACTATAAGTTCTACACTAGCTGCTATATCTATAACTCAACTAAGAAATTACCTATTTAAACCCTTTGTAATACAACCCTCTTGTATCACCAGGACATTTTTGCTATATTTGTTAGTTGAGAAGTTTTGGATGCTTACCATAGCCTTAGAACTAATTTATTCTCGAGGCATTGTTGCTAGAGCTTTCTGTATTCACAATCTAGCTAAACTAGACTTGAGTAATTTATGCCAAGTCTAAGAACAAATACTTGTGAGCTAAAGTCACTACCATTATCTACCTTTTGCTCTTGTAGAATTCATCAAAATCTTAGCCCTTATTATACAGACTATCTACTATTTCTTCAGCTCCCTAAACTTCCAATTCAGATAGCCTGGAAGGTCGAACCTCTTTCTCCAGTATATTTTGGTAGCCTGGTTAGTATAGTGTCTTGCTGAATACCTTAGTCTCATCCAATTTTTAGTTCTTCAGTTAATAATTCTTTATATAGTACTTCAAAAGACTGCATTATCTCTCTACTCAGGACTTGCCAAGCAGGCTTCTGTATATTCCAGCTTTTAGATTTATCTGACTGCTTCACTCAGGTTTTATGTAATTCATAATTATACTAAATATTCTATAGCCTAAGCTATTACAACCAAAGCTACAGATCTGATGATCTATCAGATTACACACAGTCTGTTGTAAAACATTCTGCAAAATTTGAATTTTATCATTAGTGGGATTTGAACACTTGTTCTCCCACTTAGGATGCAACAACTTACCAACTTTACTAAGTCACTATACTATAAAATTTAATATTAAGGTTTAGGTCGCAAATAACTTCTATAACTTTTAAGTTTGTCTAGACTCTGACTGAGTCTCTAGTCTTAGTATCTCTTGGATATAGAGTTCAAATAATATAACTTCTATCTTATAATTTGTAATAAATTTTAATAAAGAAAGTGGTATAGCCTTACCTTTGAAGATTAAAAAAATAAAAATAAAAATTAATATTATAGTTAAACTTCTTTATAGTTACTCTCTCATAATGTAAAAAATAGTAATTATATAAAGGCATAACAAATATAGTATGTATTCTACTAGAGGGCAGGCATCTGAGTAAGAGTATAATTGGTCTGCTATTCTACATAAGCAAAAATATATATAATGAATATGAGAGCATTGTTTTCTATTAATAGTTGATAATGAGTCTCTTGGCTTAGAATAGAGATATATTATTTGTTATAGTTTTCTTCAATTAGAGAAGTTTATACAATAGAGTTTCAAAGTTATTCATATATTTGTTTATTAACTTTTAATAATAGTTTAATAATGATATAGGTTACTTGTTTATAAGGTATTTGGAAATTTTGAACTGTTTGAATTATGGAATTAGAAATTAACTCTTTAATTGTGAGTTCTAAAT